AGACTAACTCACCTGAAGGATTGCTGTATCTCCTTCCTCGTACGTGGAGGTGGTCAACGTCGTTTTAATGGTCGGTGGTTTGATAGGGCGCACTAGAGGCTTTGGAGGAGCAGGAGGTGGTTGTCTCCTGGGTACTATCTGTAATACACTCTAGATTCATTAGCACAAATAATTGCCATAAGTAAGGCATATTTTTTGTACTCCTGTAAAAGCGTAACTTTGAAATCTACTTGGCTAACATAAATGAATAAAGAGCTGGTTCTCCTAAGGGTTTTATATAAAGTAAAAACAAATTTATGGGCACCTTCAACTGGCAGAAGTTGATAGATTCGCCATGGATATTTTTCGCCTTCACTGTGTACAATCCACTATCAGAGGGCACTGAAACCGGTGTGCTTAATTGGTCGAGTTAGCTATAGAACGAGATGACAACCTGTCCGATCAATGGTTAAAGCGCAGTGGTCGCCGGTAAACTCCAAATGCACCCGTTCGTCCTCTTTTATCGTTTTTTCCTCTTTGGACCAAATCTTAAATGAGCAAAATAGGGATTAACTAACTCATTATGAGAATCTACTTTTAAAAAACTTGGAAAGATATGTATCCACTAGAGCAAAAAATCTCTAGAGAGGTTCTGTGATAGGGCAAAAGTTTCGTCATTGCTCTGTGCTTTACGGTATAAGCTTGATACAAGGAAAGAGTCTTCTTGTTACACTTATTCTTACCACTTCCGGCTCTGGACGGCCAACAACGACACAATCGAATCGAGCCTTTTCACCTTCCGTCACTTGTACATTTGTAAGTTTCTTTATAAACCGCGGCTTTTCCTCTTCAATAAGACTGGACATGGTTGAGCGAGCTGCAAGTACTAAGTTGTGCTTACTTTGACATTCGCCCATGAATGAGATTGCAAATACCAACAGATTTCGCTGGGTGCATCTCATGCTATGCAATCAAATTTGCATATATGGAAAGTAAAAATAGAAGCCTAGGCGAGTCACACTAATCACCATCAATAGAAGCTCAATTCTAATTTCATGATATTAAGAAATAATGAA